AAGAGAAAGGGGCCCTGAGGGGGCTGGCATTCTAGGCAGAGAAATAGCCCACGTGACATGATGGAAGCATGTCCTCATACTGTGTATGGTTGGGTATTGAAAGGGTAGAGACCAGGGTGGGAATGTGCTAGGAAAGGGAATGGAGAAGCAGGTAGTGGCCTGGTCATAAAAACTACACATGTAAATGTCTTGATTTTGTTCTTGTAATATGGGGGAATATAGAAGAGTTTTTTAAGAAAGAGGTGTCATGGTCAAATGTCCATTTTATTTCCGTCATTGTCATACCAATCTAGAAACTGAATAAAAAATAGTGAAGGGAAACCTATTAAGAAGGTATGGGAAATGTTTATGCTAAAAAGGTGCTAAGAGTCTAAGCAAGGAACAAAACAAAGGGCAGAGAACAGTCAATTTTTATGCATAACACCATCAGTACATTAATTGAATCAATAATAATAATACAGGAGCAACAGTAAGATTCAGGCAGCTACAGACACAGAAAATACTTCAATCTATTTAATAAAGATGGAAGCATTAACTGGATAATAAAACAACGTGCAATGGCTATGGCTGTGGGACTGGCTAAATCAGACCTCACCAGTGGCAACACTGAGTTTTCATTGCTGTTAAGGGACCTCCCTCATAGCTTAGATAGTAAAGAATCTGCCTGCAGTGAAGAAGGCCTGGGTTCAATCCCTGGATCACGAAGATCCCCTGGTGAAGAGAATGGATACTCACTCCAGTATTTTTGCCTGGAGAATTCCATCGACAGAGGAGCCTGGCGGGCTACAATTCATGGGGTCCCAAAGAGTCGGACATAACTGAGCAACTAACCCTTTCACTTACATTTATGAACTCATTATTGTTGATTACTGTCTTCCTTCGGAAGTATCACTTATATTCTATGTGTCTCTACAAATATTTTGCTGGTGCCTGAATAAACTGGTGTAATAGAAAGTAAAAAGAAGAGTGAAGGAGAACATAGGCTCCAAATACAGGGTGGGAGGTATGATTGGCAAAGATTAGAGCATGAATGAACATAGCCATTCACTAAAATAGTGTTTTCATGGGAAGAACGTGACACAGCAAGGGAAGGTGACAAACTCAGTCTTGACTAAGTGAAGGCAGCAGTCAGTTTAGCTCAGTCGCTCAGACATGTCTGACTCCTTGAAACCCCATGGATTGCAGTGCACCAGGCTTCCCTGTCCATCACCAACTCCCAGAGCTTGCTCAAACTCGAGGATTGCAGTATTTATGAGGATATTCAAATAGTTCTATCCAGCAAGCATCTGAATCATGAGAGACGTCCAGGCTAGAGATAAAACATTCCACATCCTCAACAAACACATAACCATCAAACATAAGAAAGGATCCTATTACTGAAGAATTACTCATTCATTCATTCATTAGTTGATTCATTCACAGGCAGAGCACAGAGGAATTTAAGGGCAGTGAAAATCCTGGGATACCATAATGATAGATTTATGCCATCACTCATTGTCCAAAACCATACACTGTAGAAAACCAAGAGTGAACTATGATGTAAATTATAGAGTTCGGGTGGTTATGACATTTCAATGTAGCTTCATCGGCTATGACAAATGTACCACTCTGGTGGAGATGTTGCTGATGGGGGAGGCCATGGATGTGTGGGGCAGGAGATATAAGGGGAATCTTTGCATTTTACTCTCAACTCTGCTCTGAACTTGAAACTGCTCTAAATAAATAAAGCCTTTTTCAAAAATTAAAAAAAAAATTCATTCACATATTCATTTATTCAGCAAATACTTATGAGTACCTGCTACATGGCAGGCACTTTTATTTTTTATCTTGTTTTTTTAGAGATGCTTACTTAAATTTATTTTTAATTTATTTTTGGCCACAGATCATCCCATGCAGAACCTTAGTTCTCTGATCAGGGATAGAACCCATGCCCCTGCAGTGGAAGTGCAGATTATTAACCACTGGACCACCAAGGAAGTCCTGACAGACACTGTTAAATGCTCAGTGGTTGAAATAGTGAATAAGACAGTCTCTGCCTCCATGGAATCTATAACTTAGACTGGAAAGAGCATTGGGTCAGGCAGTAGTGTGGATGGAGAAAGAGAAGAGCTCAAAAGACCAAAAGAAGAGGTGGACCCAGAGAAGCAGGTTCCTAGGTCAGGGAAATAGAGACTATTAAAGAGAAAAAAAGAGTGGCTAACAATGTCAAATATGGCAGAAATGGTCAGTAAAATAAGATCTAAACAATGTTGGTTGGGTTTGGAGATATGGAAGCCATGGAGACCTGGGTGAAAGCAATTTTAATGGAGTGATATGCAAATTAGATAGCAATGTATTAAGTAAGAGCTTAAAGAAAGCCGAAGACACTGAATACAAAATACATTTTAAAGCGATTTGGATGAAGAATGTAAGAGAGAGGATAAAGAGTAGAGGAAAGGACACTCAGACCAGAAATTTTGAAACTTTAATGTTTGCTCAGTTTCTCATTTCCAGTGGACCCTGGTCATCTTCACTTTGACGTTCCACCAACAACATAAACGTAACAACCAAATAAAACATCAGAAATCCCTACTTCCGCTATACCCTTACTATTCCTTAGATACTGTGACTTTCAAGCTCTCCTCCTCTCCATAATTTGACATCTGATCCTTGCAGTAGTGTGGACAGAGAAAGAGAAGAACCCAAGAAGACTACAAGAAGAGGTGGACCCAGAGAAGCAGGCTCCCAGGTCAAGGAAAGAGAGAATATTATGCCTACCTCTTTGCTACAGATCCTTAGTACACGATCTATCTTGTCAGCCTGATAAAAGTTCTGTCTATTCCTGTCTTTTTTGCCTAACCATCCATCCGACTCATTGCTGCCAAAATAATCTTGCACAAACACATTATTGTTCATGTTATTCCCCTGATCTAAATGCTTGAGGGGCTGCCCAGCGCCAGTCAACTTAAGTGCAAACTCATTAAGCTGGTATTCAAATTTCTCCACAATATGGTTCCAATCAAACGGCTCTTTTATTAATCTGCCCAAAACATGTTCTCTGAGATCCAGTCAAGCTGGCTTGATCACTCTTTTCCAAGTTTAATTTTTTTCCCCCATTTTGGCCATGAATTCCCCTCTATGTTGTCCAAATTTTATCTGTTCTTTAAATCTCAGTTCAGTTGTCTCCTTCATAACCTATTTTGGTCAGAATTCCTACTCTGCTTTTTTTTTAATCCCATTTTTTATTCTTTTTATTAGAATATATTAGCATTAACACTGTGTTGATAATAGCATTAAGGTTAGAAACTGTGTTGATGTCAGTACTGAGGACATCCTTAAGAAGGGAACAAAGGAACTATGTTCCAATGCTCACTGAAATCTTCTTAACCTACCCTTGATTTTCTTCATTGTAAAAGGGGCAGGGAAAGTGTAGGGGTTTGGGAGATGGCTCAAAGGAGGAAAACGGCATGCTATATTCTGCACATCTCTGGATTTAATATTTGCAGGCAATACAGAATGTGGAATAACTCTTAAGGCCATTCAGCCAGAACTTGGATCATGGGTTACAAAGCTGATGTTCTGGCCAAGTCATTTAGATCTTATCCTGCTTTGACCAGTTAAACTCTTGTAATGTTTCACCTGGAGAAGGAAATGGCTACCCACTCCAGTATTCCTGCCTGAAGAATTCCATGGGCAGAGGAGCCTGGAGGGCTCAAATAGGGGCCTGGAGGTCCATGGGGTCTCAAATGGTCAAACATGACTGAGCAACTAATACACACACACACACACACACACACACACACACACACACAGTATTTTACCCATGGTGATGCTGTTTGTATTATAGATACTTGTATGTTACGTCTACAATCTCTACCATATTTTAAGAGCTATGAGAGGGGAGAATATACTCAATGTGTTTTTATGATCATTACCTTGCATAGGGAACCCAGAAGTTGTTACCACACATTTGATAAATGTAAGTGAACTCCCAAAGATATGAAAATATTAAAAAGTATATATATATATGGAAATATAAAAATATAAAGATCTCTGACCCAGGGATCAAGCCCAGGTCTCCCACATCGCAGGTAGATTCTTTATTGTCTGAGCCACAAGGGAAATCCCATAAAAGCATTTATTAGAGCACTGCAGTAATAGAAAATATTTGAGATTATCTGATTATCTGTAGAGAGCTTCCCTGGTGGCTCAGAGAGTAAACAATCGTCCTGCAATGCAGAAGACCTGAGTTCAATCCCTAGGTTGGGAAGATCCCCTGGAGAAGGGAATGGCAACCTGGGGTTGCAAAGCATCCGCCACGACTGAGGGACTAATACACACACAGAATTATCTATAAATAGGAAAATGGCTAATTAAGCTATGTCATGTCCAAATTATGGAGCTGTATGCAGTAGTTTTTTTCTTGGTATTTTTTCTTTTAAAAATTTATTTATTTTGATTAGAGTATAATTGCTTTACAATGTTGTGTTAATTTCTGCTGTAAAACATGAATCAGCTATAAAGTGAAGTTGCTCAGGCTCCTTTGTCCGTGGGATTCTCCAGGCAAGAGTACTGGAGTGGGTTACCAATTCCTTCTCCAGGGGATCTTCCCAACCCAGGGATCGAACCCAGGTCTCCAGCATTGGAAGCAGACGCTTTAACCTCTGAACCATATGTATACATAAATCCCCTCCCTCCGGAGCCTCCCTCCCACTCCCCTTTTATTTTATAGATAAAAGAATTGAAGTCAAGAAAGTGTTTTGTGATCTGCCCAAGTCACATGGCTGCTCAGTGAGAAAGCAGTGCTATAAATCTTATGTCCTGACCCTCAGTCCAGGCCTCTTCCCATTTCATGGCAGCATCTGTTTAGGAAGCTTGAGTTGAGCCATCCTCCTCATATGGTCCCTGATGCTGGCATCACCGTTGTGATTCAAGATATAGACTCCTTTCTGGTCTCAGAAGTCTGTGTATTCACAACTCAAGGAAAAAACTAGAAGGCTGGAGCTGCCCACCTGACTTACCAGACGGAAGAGGGAAATGGTGTTCCCAGTGATGTTGTAGTGAGTCAGAACCTCGGAGGCAGTGCTGATCCCAAAAGACACGTCTTGGAAATTTTGCACCACACCATGGATTAGGGACACTGCCGGTACTTCTAAATCCTAAAGACAAGAAGGAAAAAAAAAAAAGAAAGAAAGAAAGAAAGAAACCCACAGGTTGTTTCTGGAGGAAAGAGACAGCGAAAGAGACTAGGGAGTAGAAATATGCTCACACATATCAAATCAAAGTGTCCAGTGAGACAACACTGACCTCTAAAAATGCAGGCTGGCTTCTCAGGGACGTGGTTGAATTTTCCAGGCTGGGTGGGTTAATAGGTAACTATGACACAGTGGCTAAGTCTAGAACACCTATCTGGCTTTACCGCAGAACTTGTAGTTTGCTGGGCTTCCTTGGTGGCTCAGCTGGTAAAGAATCTGCCTGTAATGCAAGAGACCCAGGTTCGATCCCTGGGTCGGGAAGATCCCCTGAAGAAGGGGATGGCTACCCACTCTAGTTTTCTCGCCTGGAGAATTCCATGGACACAGGAGCCTGGCGGGTTACCATCCATGGGGTCACAAAGAGTCAGACATGACTGAACGACTAACTTGTAGTTTGTTAATAGCTGAGAGGGGGCTCAAAATCATAAAGACCTGAATATCCACAGTCATTGATAAACCAAAGGAGGCAAATATTTTGGGAATAATTTGTGGAGGAAAGAAGAAACGTAAAAATCAGAAATAGGTGCTGTCAAAAGGACCAAAAAAGAGAAAATGAAAAGAAGAGAAATTAAAGTGGAAGCTTAGAAGGTCTGTTAACAAGGCTGTGTAGGAAGTTGGGGAGACGTGCTCTTTCCACTGTGTGTAAGCCATGAAGATACTGTTCAGGCGTTGCTCATCCTCTAGAACCAAAGCGTGCAGGACAGAGCAGGGAAGCCTGTTCTGAATGATGATTCCAGGCCTTCTTATTTCCCTGCACTCATGGGACCCTCATCCCCAGAAACTCTGAGCAATAAACAGCGGTGAACATCTTTGTCCTTGACATTTCTCTGGCAAGAGGAGATGTGCTCAGAGAAAAGATCATGGTTAGCCTTGCAGCTGGGGTCAAGCAGAGGGAGCTGGCACTGTGCTCATCCAAAAGGGCGTGTGGAGTTCATTTTAGGTTATGAACAATTGTTCTTCATGGTTTCGTTTTTTTTTTGTTTTGTTTTTTTTAATCCACTCCTTAGAATGGAATTGCTCTCGGGGCAAATAGCGACACCTGGTGACCATTTGAGTTATCGCACCCTCCTCCAGTTTCACTTCCTTGCCACTCCGGTCTGAGTGTAGGCTGCTGTTTTTGTCTACAGGTCAGATCGCTCATCACTGAAAAATTTGCCCCCAGGCCTCACATCCACTCCCCCACTCCACTTCTGTCTTCCTCCCCTACTTATATATCATCAATTTTATTTCCAGCTGTGTACACAGAAAAGACAAGATGATGATGATTTGGAATTAATGAATAGAAACAGGCAAGAAGGTCTGAGAGGAGAAAGTAGGGGATTAATTAGCTGTGAAATCAGCAGATGTTACCTCCAGAGAAAAAGAAAAATGCTGGGATAATGCCTTCTCCTTTACGGTTGATTTTTTTTAGCCAGGCAGCTAATCTGGAAGATAGAGGCTAAGACCTTCAATATGCAAAATGTCATCTTTATTCAATATTTCAGAGCAAACAAATGAAAAAAAAAAAAGAAGAAGAGTGTGTATGCATGCTCAGTTGCACAGCTGGGTCCAACTCTTTGCAACCCCATGGACTGTAACTCACCAGACTCCTCTGTCCATGGGATTTCCCAGGCAAGAATACTAGAGTGGGTTGCAATTTCCTACTCCAGGGGATCTTCCCGACCCAGGGACTGAACCTGTGTCTCCTGCATTGACAGGTGAATTCTTTACCACGGAGCCTCCTGGGAAGCACAGGAAGAATGGGGGGCTCCTTACTTGCTAAGAGGTTCTAGACTGGAGGCAGCTATTCACAAATGTGTTGCCTGATTGATACAAGCTGGTTTACTCTGGGCCCTGCCTTGGAAATTCAAATACTGACTGAAGCTTCAAAGCATGTACAGATGGGGAGACCCAGACAGCAGCCTCAGGACTCTTGAAACAAATATGAGAAAGATGTGATTCAGAGACTGGGAACATCTAGAAACTGTGAGATCTTGATTGACAAGCTAAAATCAGACTCTGCTCTTTGACTTCTAAGGCAGTATCATCTGGCCAGCAAGTGACTAGCATGGCTCCCGTAAGGTAGGATATTTCTGGTTCTTTGGGAGAAGGGCAGGTGGCAATATCTGAACAAACCTGGAAGAAGCCTATGACAGCCACCTCAGCAGCAGCGATGAATTCCATGGCAGCTTGGACATCTGTGAGTCGCACAGGTTCCTGGGCGCCGGGACCATCTAGACAGAGACGAGGGTAAGGGTGGGAGGAAGAGAGAGAGAGAGAGACAGAGAGTTTGCAGGTACCGAGTGGAGAAAAAGCAACTCTAAATCACAAGGGCATCTCTATTTTTCCTCTTCATGGTAAGGTCAAAGAGATTTGGGAGTGCAGATGTCATTCCAAGGTTTTATTTCTTTACTAACTTGTTGGGGGGGGGGGACTCCTCTCATAATAACCTATTTTAAAATAATATTTATTTATTTATTTGGCTTTGCCAAGTCTTAGTTGTAGCATGAAGAATCTTTAGTTGAGGCATGTGGGATCTAGCTCCCTAACCATGGATCGAACCTGGGATCCCCTGCATTGGGAGCACGGAGACTTAAGTCATGGGACCACCAGGGAAGTCCATGATAGCTTCTTTCTTTCTTTTTTTCTTTTTTAGCCTATTTCTTAAGGATGCCAGACTCCCCTCTTCTCTGCTAGGCAAGGCAGATTTTTATCCAGCATCTCCTGAAAAGTTCCTAGGTTTGGGGAACAAATACCCAGAGTTCTACCAATATTCCCTTCCCTTCTTCCAATAACTCTTTCACCCCCTGGTCACTCAAGTGCTCCTTTCTTTTACCTGATGATTTCTGAACTTCTGCGGCAACTTCCGGGGACGGTTTGTATGTGAAGAGAAATAAGAGAAACAGGCATCTGGACGGCATGGCTTCCACTTTCTTGCTCCTGTTCCACGCCCTGGTCTTGGTGTTTGGAGCCGCTGACTCAGGGCAGCCCACTCTGCAGTTAATGGATTGTGGCGTAATTTGTGCTCTGGGAACACTGCAGCTGACTCTGGGGCAGGGGGACCTTCAACTTTTGAGATAAGAGACAGGATTCGGTAACAGGGCCTCAGAACAAAACCAATCAGAAGAAAGTCAGGCTATTTCCTTTAAATAAAACAAAACATTCTATGCCAGGTGGTTGACTTAGACACTATGAACATAGCAATCATGGTGATCTGATCACCTCTCCCAGCTTAGATTGTTAATATGAAAGATGGGCAGTTAAATAGATCGTTTAAATGTAAAATGGAAAGTGATTAAAAAATTGGGAAACTCACAGGGTGCTAGGAGAAGATGAACTAAGGACATTTTGGACAATGATGGTGTCTGGTGAAAGCTTTCTTCCTGCGGGGGGCGCCCAACAGTGCGTGTGTGCACACTCAGTCATGTCTGACTCCAGGGAAGAATACTGGCTCCATGACCTTCTCCTTGGATCTTCCCCACACACGGATCGAACCTTCATCTCCTGCACTGGCAGGCAGTTTTAGCACTGCACCACCTGGGAAGTGTGCCTAAGCAGAGTCCTGGGTAAATAAAACTTTTCCAGGCAATGAAGGTGGAAAGGGAGTTTCGCGTAAAGAGCCAAAGCACTGAGATGCAAATGTGATGTGCAAATTACTAACAAGAGAATTATTAGTAATTGAGCATTACTAGAAAATGGAATAATAAATCTGGGCAGAAAGGCATTCTGAGACCAGATCCCAGGGGACCTTGTATACTAAGCGTAGGAGCTTCAACTGTATTTTGCAGGTGATGGGAAGCCACTGAAGAGCTTAAGCAGGAGAGGAAGAATGCCTGATGTGGCCCAAGTGCCTGTGGAAATCCAAGGCATTCTTGTAGGCAAGGGATATGTAAGTCTCAAGCTTAGTAGAAACTTCTATCCATGGGTTTGCTAAGAGTCGGACATGACTGAAGCAACTCAGCATGCATGCACTGTATGATAATAAAATACACTGAGGGACTTCCCTGCTGGTGCAGTGGATGGGAATCTGCCTGAAGATGCAGGGAACACAGATTCCATCCCTGGTCCAGAAAGATCCCACATGCCTTGGAGCAACTGAGCTCATGAGCCACAACTATTGAGTCCGTGCTCTGGAGCCCAGGAGCTGCAACTACCAAGTCTGTGCTCTGGAGACTGTGCTCTGGAACAAGAGAAGCAACTCCAATGGAAACTCCGAGCACCACAATGAAGGGGAGCCCCTGTTCACCACAACTAGAGAGAGCCTGTGTGTAGCAAGACTCAGTGGGGCCAAAGATAGAAAAAAAATGTAATTAATTAAAAAAAAGACTCCTTGCTTCCATTTGACCCTTGTTCGATCTCTGGTCAGGTAACTAGATCCTGCATGCTGCAACTAATATCCACCACAGCAAGTGAAAGTCATGTCTGACTCTTTGAGATTCCCTGGGCTGTAGTCTGCCAGGCTCTTCTGTCCGTGGAATTCTCCAGGCAAGAATATTGGAGTGGGTTGCCATTCCCTTCTCCACGGGATCTTCCTGACCCAGGGATTGAACCCGGGTCTCCTGCATTGCAGGCAGATTTTGTAAAGATGGTGACATCTGAGTCACTAGGGAAGTCACAGCAAAGCAAATTAAAAAAAAAAAAAAAACCATGCTTATTAAAAAATAAATAAGTACATTGAGATTTTTCTAGCATTTGCACTGAAACAGGGGGGTGAAACTGCTCCCAATGATGTAAAACCTCCTGTGCTGAGCTCTGCTCACCTCTTCCGAGGAAACGCATGAACGGGAACCATCCAGTTACCATATTTGCTTGAAGGGAGAATGCAGAGAAAGGAGGGTCTCAGTCAGCTCTTATAACTGCTTTATTCTTGTTCTCTTGTGCTGTTTACAGTGTCTCCCAGAAAAGGAAAACCCCAGTTGGCAGGGAACGTGATGAGGGACCTTCACTGAACCAGCGGTAACCACAGGAGAATCCAGGGGTGGGAGGGAGAGACAAGGACCTGAGGCAGAAGTGCTGTGCTAGTTTGCCCATCTTCTGATCTCCAGTTGCTCAAATGGGAATAAAAGAGAACTTGGGAGATCTTGGCCATGATCAGGAGGGCAGGATGAAGGCCCAGATTTTAAGCATCTTGTTCGGGTATCACTGGGAGACACCGTGTGGGAGAGGGTGCAGTGCTAAGAGATGGTGGAGGGTGCTGGGGAAGGGGCCCAACTGTGACCAGGGAGGAGGGACCAAGGGCTCTTCTGGGTGGCAAAGACAGGCAGAGTGAAAGGCAGAGGTGCTCATTCTGTCCAGTCCTTCTTAATGGACAGGTTCCACTCCCAGGTGAGGTGGTCATGCTTGTCATCGTCGGTGAAGAAGGACTTGTTGTGATAAGTGCCTCGGGCCAGCATGCCCTTGGGGGCCTCCTCAACTGGAGTCAGAAACTCATATTCCTCTGGCCGAGGCCCATAGCTGCCCACCATGAATGTTGCTTTATCCACTGGGAAGAAAGAAGAGTTCATTAGGATGAGAGCCTGTTAGATGGAGACACTGCCCATGACAATTTGGAGCAGAGTTCACTGTGATCAAAGCCAAGAGCAATGGTTTCCAAGGCTGGCTAAATATCAGATTTACCTGGAGCACTCTTTTTTTTTCCCTTAAAAAACATTTTTTAAATGGAATCTCTTTATAGTGCAGTATACTTTGATCCACTGTCAATCTTATGGTTAGTACTGTTGTGAGTCCCAAGAATCAGTGTCTTTAAAACACATCACAGCTGACTCTCAGATTCAGGAAAGCTGAGGAATCAGTGCCCTAAATCAATGGGGATCAAGATTCTATGGAGATGTAGCAGATTATATCAGAAAAAAAAAATTCCAGGTACTCCAAAGGTACACACTTCCAGTTATAAAATAAGTAAGTCCAGGGATCTTCTCAACCCAGGAATTGAACCTGGGTGTCCTGTACTGCAGGCAGATTCTTTACCAACTGAGCCAGGAAAGCCCTAAAGTACAGTGTGGTGACCATAGTTAACAATACCACATTGTGTATTTGAAAGTTGCAGAGTTGATCTTAAAAGTTCTCATCACAGGAAAAAAACCTGAAATTGTGTGTGGTGATGGGAGTTAATTAGACTAATTACTGTGATTATTTTATAATATGTAAACATACAGGTCACTATGCTGTATGCCTAAAACTATCACAATGTTATATGCCAGTTATATCTCAGTAAAAAATCCTGAAACTAATTGAGACCTGAGTTCTGATCTCAGCTCTGCAACTATCTACGTTTTGGGGATTCTGTTTCTTTTCTATACAATACAGCTTGAGGATCTTTTATCTACAAACTATCATTCTGTGAATAGTTGCAAGAGATAAGGTAAAGCTTTGTGATCAGAATGAATGATATCATGAATGCAATAATTAGATGAAATGGGAAGACCAATAATTTGGTTAAAAAAAAAGTATCAGTGAACTGAAACAGATGGTAAAAGTAGCCAACCAGAGTTATTAAAAGGTGAGCAACTGGGATATATATTAAAATTAATAAGGATCAGAAAGTTTAAGTAAAGGTAGATGGGCAGGCAGGTGACATTTAAATTGGCTGTTATTTTGGATAAGTTTGGAGGACTAGCTGCAGACATCCTTGACGACCTTTTGCCCAAGTGACACATCAGTCTTTACACCCAAAGGAAAATAGGAAACTTAACTATCTTTTCGTGAGACTAGGTATTGGGAGAGCAAGGACGATCTTTCAGGTTAACAATCTTCTGCGGGATTTGAGTCATTAAGTAGTTCTTTATTTCATGCTAATTGATCATTGTCTTCCTTGGTCCTCATTGATGGATTTGATGGAACTGACCTATGCATTACTGCATCACACCTCTAGGAGACGCTGTTTCACACCATCAGGTTAACGAAACGTTAGAAGTGCTTTCTTCAGCCTTCCACCTTTCATTTTTCTCTGCTTTTATTAACAGAACACAACTGAACATGTACCATTTAGGTGCTGCTTGTCAAGAAAACTGTAGATTAAAGAATGTGATATTATTTGTTTCAGTTACAAAGTGAAAGTGAAGTCGCTCAGTCATGTCTGACTCTTTGCAACCCCATTGCCTGTAGCCTACCAGGCTCCTCCATCCATGGGATTTTCCAGGCAAGAGTACTGGAGTGGGTTGCCATTTCCTTCTCCAGAGGATCTTCCCGACACAGGGATTGAACTCGGGTCTTCTGCATTGTAGGTAGACGCTTTACCGTCTGAGCCGCTTTTTTTAATTCTAGAAAGAGGTTTTTTTTTTTTCTTCCTTCTATTCTTAGGCTAGGAAATTGAGCTACGAAGCCCACCCCTCCACCCTGCCAACTACCCATCACATGCTACTAGCACCTCCCATTTGGGTAGGTCTTTCCTCTCTTGGATTTCTCTGACACTCAGGTTTTTTACTTGTGGATTCAATTCAGTTCAGTCCCTTAGTCGTGTCCGACTCTTTGTGACCCCATAAATCACAGTACGCCAGGCTTCCCTGTCCATCGCCAACTCCCGGGTCCACCCAAATCCATGTCCATTGAGTCGGTGATGCCATCCAACCATCTTATCCTCTGTCATCCCCTTCTCCTCCTGCTGTCAATCTTTCCCAGCATCAGGGTCTTTTCCAATGAGTCAACTCTTCGCATCAGGTGGCCAAAGTATTAGAGTTTCAGCTTCAGCATCAGTCCTTCCAATGAACATTCAGGACTGACCTCCTTTAGGATGGACTGGTTGGATCTCCTTGCAGTCCAAGGGACTCTCAAGAGTCTTCTCCAACACCACAGTTCAAAAGCATCAATTCTTCTGCGCTTAGCTTTCTTTATAGTCCAACTATTGCTTTTTAAAAAAATTTCAAGAGTACATTTACGTACTTGAATTCAAACTTGGCTGTGTTTGCTTGCATGCTATGTTGCTTCAGTCATATCTGACTCTTTGCGACCCTATGGACTGTAGGCCTCCAGGCTCCTCTGACCATGGAGTTCTCCAGGCAAGAATATTGGAGTCGGTTGCCATGCCCTTCTCTGGAGGATCTTCCTGACCCAGGGATCGCATTCTTATTCTTCCCCTTTATAAGTAATAAAATCAGATTTCAAAAGCAGAATGCTGAAGGCTGGTGGCTGACCCAGTCTTAACTAGGGTTCCTTTAACATGGAAATATATGTGTGCCTCTCCAAGGGTGAATGTCCACAGCTGTCATCAGATTCTTAAATGAGTCTAGGACTAAACATTACTAATAACCTGAAGTTTACGTGTCCCTGAGAAGCAGACTTTGGGACAGTGGAAAATGTGCATACTTTACCTTTTACCCCCGTCCGATAGGTGTGTTGAACATACTTCAGTCCTGACACAATATCCTTGTTCACCTGTAGGTGGGAAGGAGCCAAGTGATTCAGATTAAAGAGAGTCTTCAATTTTTCCTCATCTTTCATGCTTATCTGACCTAGCTGATGCTTCTCTGAGGATGAAGGACTGAAGATTTAGTTCAGAATAAGTTACTACCATCGTTTAGCCTGGCAATGAGGCAGAGATTAAAGAGAGGAAGTCATGAGACTTAGTGTTACCGAAGCTGGTTCCAACTGTCGAACACCATGATTTCTGGTGTGGGTGAGGGTATGGTTAATTAGAACACTGTCTCAATATTCTATATTACATTTCTCCTTCCTCCATGGCCCAGAGAAGGGTCTTGAGCTCCTTCTCCCTGAAGACTGGCCATAAGATCTTTCTTGTTTTTACGTTACAAAGTCATTAATGGAAACTAATTATTATGTAAATATCTGAAAATTCTAATCTCAGAAATGATCCACCGAGCATATGAAAACAAACAGGGAGAAAAGTCGTGATGGAAAGTTGGACCTAGAAGATGATTTTGCTTGTAACCTAACTGTGATTGGAGTCTAGAGATGAGTCACAGGAAAATAACCCCCTTGGATGAAAATAATGGGTGAAATCCATTTGCCTCTGGCATATAGCTTGGATGGCTGTCATTCTCAGATGTTGTCTGGAATCTTGCCACTTTCCCAAGCCTTTCAGAGAAAATTTACTAAAGCGGAATGAAAATATAGGCAGGTCAAGCACTTGATTTTTCCATGATTCATTCTACTTAGGGCTGAACCGGTCTGTTAATTTTATACCATGGTCATGTTTATACAAGCAAATTAAAGTGAGCATGGCACCATTAGCTGGATGCTTCGCTAATTGTTTACCCATGTAAGAATGAAAGCGTATTGTTTCTCCTGGACAATAACCAGGGCTCCGTTTTTGTTTTGGACAGAACGATTAAAGCAGTCTCTCGGTGATACATTTTGTTTTGTTGGCAGTGAGGTAGCATAGCCATGAATATTTCCTGCTTAGGTTTGGAACAGTCACTCAGCGAAACCTGTAGCATAAAGCTATCAAAAGCAGACAGAAGGAAAAAAGCTTCATTGAAGAAAGTGTGATAAAATGAAACCCGAACTTTCTAATTCTTCTAACTTCTGCGTGTGACTCATAGATATAGGGAAAAAACCCACATCCTTCTAGAAGCCTCTAAGCTGGTCTCCTGGGCATAGTAGAAGATATGGTCTGGTGGGTAAAAGACCAAAAAAAAAGACAGAAATGGTGGTGGAGTAGTAATAAGGACTTCAAAAAAGAAAGACTCTTGTTTTTCTACTGCTCCACAGATCTTCCGTTTAATATAAACATGGTTGAGATGGACAAAAGAAAAGTGTGAATATTCCTTGTTATTCCCTGCCTCTGCCTGCCCACCCTTCCTGATTGTCTTCCACCCCATGAGGAAGAAGCTTTGGGAACTAAAACCGAGAGCCAGATTTAGGGAGAAGTAGAAATTAACAAAAAGTATGCCAATGTGATAATGCAATAAATTTGATTTTTTTTCTTCTTCTGATTACAGAAAGAATTTAAACTTTATACAAATATACAGGGCCAGATACTTACTTTGAAGTTAATTTTTACTCTATATTCAACACCTTCCTTTAGGACAAAGTTTTCTTTTTTAAGGGCTTCCAGATCCCCTGTAGAAATGAATTTTAAAAGAGTTAATTCTCATTGGAAGGACATTCACAAGAAGATGAATGAAGTCGAAGCTCCTGAGCCATTTTCTGAACTCCTCAGAGCAACACGGCCCCCGTGGTCCTCAGGTCAAAGAATGTTTGAGATTAGTCACCGCACAAACACACATTTGGAATGCCTGAAATCTTACAGCAGATGCGAAAGAAACATGATAGAGCTTACCCGCCAAGTTTGACTGCAATCTTAAGAATACGCAAGACTTTATGCTTGAAGACTCTGCCCCCAGTCCTCAAATACATAGGAGAAAAATATTATGTAAGAATGCCAGCTATTTGTTTTTGTAGGTTTGTTAATGTATGTGGTGTTTTCTAAGCTTTAGAAAATGTGCTTTTTTGGTTTCTCTTTATCATTCTAAGAAATACATAAAATAAAAAAATTTTAAAAATATACTTTTGTACTTAATTTTGCTTTTGCATTTGCAATTTCATACTTTTTTTTTTTCTTAAGGAAAAGAAAACTTATCACTTAAGTTCTAAAGGCTTCAGACTCCATAAAACTGGCATCTGCCCCCTAATTCGTGTACCTTGGTTAGAGAGGTGGTCTTTGCTCCTTTCCCAAAGTGACCCTGTGTAATTTGACATTTGGGGTGACTGTGTGTGTTCTGCACAGTTTTGTGCAAAATTTCATGCATATAGCTGGCATCAGCCTCCTCTGTATACATCTAGGATTCACTTCAGTAGCCTTTTTTTTTGGTGACAGAAAACCAAGGTTTTCTTGTTGCTGGGGAAAAGGGACAGAGACCAAGTTTTCCCTGCAGGATCGATCATGAAGCCCTTCTGAACAGAGCAGTTTTGCTTAGCACTACTTCAGACCTTATCTTGCAAAATGGCGGTTATACCTGTTAACTTTACACAATTTCTCACAGGAAGAGGTCTGAGGCCGGGTGTGAGAGAGAATTCCTTTCTGAGAGATGCTTAGGACGTGGGGGTAGTTGAATGTGTGACTCTGCTCTAATGATTTCGGTTGAACAGGAAGTATGTCTTTTCAGCCTCCAATTTCCTCCCTCTGACAAAAAGCCCATATAAGGCAAAGAGTGGCTGTCTTACGAGAGGGGAACTACCTTGCTCCTAAGCTTACTGTTCTCTTGTCATGCTGTGTTCTGTCTCATGAGTCTATTTTCTGAATCTGGTAATAATATTTTTTTTCCCACTAAAGACCTGCCTTTGATGTCCCCAACCCCTGGCTCAGTGGCCCTTCCCTTATTTCTCCCAGTGGCCTACTTTCCCCAAAATCAGCCCCCTTTCCAGCTTCTCATCGTCTCCTCCAGACCTAAGTCTCAGGAAAGGACTTGACCTTGGCAACAATCAAGTGGAAGAAAATAACATGTTAAGTTGTACATCTTTAGTGAGGGACGTTGCTTATTTCAAAGAATCATAGTTTTAAGCTAAAAAAAATCCTGCAGATTTAACAATGGAATTCTTAGCATTAATCAGGAGGTCTTGGATTTCTTCTTGCCTTCAGGTAAGTTCTGTAGCTGATACAAGATCAATATTTTCTCTGATCTTTATATTGTATGTGTGTGTGTTTGTGTGTGTGTGTGTGCACACTCAGTTATGTCAGACTCTGTGATTTCGTGGACTGTAGTCTGCCAGGCTCCTCTGTCCATGAGATTTCCCAGGCAAGAATACTGGAGTGGGTTGCCATTTCCTTCTCCAGGGGACCTTACCTACCTTCAAATGGTAAAATATTACCATTTCAGAAGCCTACAACTTGCTTCTTAATATTTTCATTAGCAGTCTTTTTCCATGAATAATAATTCTCCTATGCCATGTGGAGATAAAAATCTAAAATAAATATAATACAGGTAGACATATCAGGTACTTATGTTTGACCCCTTTCAATTAAATAGAAATGGAGGTTGGGCTTTTCATTAAGCATGGTAAATACTGTGAAAACAATGACTTGTGAGCTGGTCCCAGCATACCTTACTAGAATTCACCTTACCGCATGCACGCATGCTCAGTTGTGTCTGACTCTTTGCGACCCCATAAACTGTAGCTTACCAGGCTCCTCTGTCCATGGGATATCCCAGGCAAGAATACTGGAGTGGGTTGCTATGTCCTTCTCCAGGGGATCTTCCCAACCCAAAGATCAAACCCAAGTCTCCTGTGTCTCCTGCATTGGCAGGTGGATTCTTGACCACTGTGCTGCCTGGGAAGCTGTTTACTTTACTAGGTATTTTTCTTTTTGGCTGGGACAAGGGACAAAAACCATGCCCTTGTCCTTATGATGCCATGAGGCCCCACTAAACAGAAGAGCTGTAACCACTTACCAGTGAGGTCCATGGTGATTGGTCCTGGGGCACTTTCACAAACGAGGGTCAGGCGGGTGACCGTGACGTTGGGGGCTGTTGGGTCTGCAGGAATTAAAAGACATTGTGAGCACAGAGAAGAGGCATATACATACAGTGTGTGTGTGTGTGTGTGTGTGTGTGTGTGATGTGTGTGTGTATACATTTCAAGTAGGAAAGAGAGAAGATGAAAAAGAAAAATGGATCTCTGTCTCTAGAGGAGAAATAAAGACGGAAGTGGCAGATTCACCAGGCTTGGTCTTAGTGGCCTTGGACCTTCCTGTGATGCTATTTCTGCTTCAGGTAACTGTACACCCACCTTATTCATCAATAGCAAACATTTCCCGAGTGGCTAGGGGTAAGGTACTCTGCTGGTTGGGCAGGGTGCATCCATATCTTTGGGTCATGTCTGACTCTGCCATTGTGTATTGGAAATGATGGATGTTAGGTAAGGAGTGGGAAGGAGAAAGAGAAGAGAGAATGTGAGAGACCATGGAGAGAATTCAATTCTGAGTAATAGTCTGAAACTCCTTCTAAATCCTTCCTACGTGTTATATATTTGTCTATTTCAAGGCAAAGTACGCCTTACCTCCAAAGAAAACTTGATTATCCATCTATAACTTGGTTTGGCACATGGAGATTGCAGCTCACTCCCTTAACCTTAGAAGCTTGAGACCCTCTCCTGTGCACCTGCTCCTGAGTAGCTCAAATGTCTGCCTTCTCTGTGCCCCTCCACCTGTCCCACTCTGTCTTCTCACACACATACCTGCGACCACAGGACCGTCCCCCAGGAGCGTTTTCTTGTACTTGGTTAGACTTTCGTCATCTTTGTCCATCTCCTGCAGCTCCTTCAGGGACTTCTGTGGGGGCGGCTTGTAGTTGAGCTTGCCATCCAGCTCGTCGTCATCCTCCTCCACGTGTGGTTCTGGGGCCTTTTCAGTCATTTTGATCTAGAGGTAGAGAGGAAGAGAGACACTGATGATCTGTTGGCCAAAAGTCCGTGGATATGAGCTATGCTTGAGGGGCTGCTCTTAGTCTTGTTGTTTTTTAGTCACTAAGTCCTGTCCAACTCTTTGAGATCCCATGGACTATATAACCTGCCAGGCTCCTCTGTCCATGGGATTTCCCAGACAAGAATACCGGAGTGGGTTGCCATTTCCTTCTCCAGGGGATCTTCCCGGCCCAGGGATTGAACACACATCTCCTGCACTGGCAGATGGATTCTTTACCACTGAATCACCAGGGAAGCCCACTCTTAGTGCTATTTTTGCCCTAATAAACTTCTGTAATTGTCAATGATTTTCCAGGAGATTTCCCTCTGATTCAGCCTCATCCTATTTCACAAAATAAGAATATAATGCATTCTAGGTTTTCCTTTGACATGTTTGAATGTTTTCATATTGTGATGAATCCCTCCTATTCATGGAATGAAACTGACAGTAAGTAACTCACTTGTGAATTCTATAAAACAAGTGAAGCAACATAGTACAAGCTGTCCTGAACAATGAATGAACAGCCCCAGTTCAGAGAGTTATAGAAATGATCATAGTCCTACAAATCCATCCAGTCTTGCAGGTGTCAAAGCACTCAGCATGTATCAATACAATCCCAGTTACAATGGTGTCAAGTACTTGGTAAAGCAGGTTAGTTTTTCCCCATTCATTGCATCTTTCCCTGAACTCCTGAAAAAACTCAAAGGCAACTCATGAGAAGTTTTAGGCCCCTGTGATATCTGCCTGAGTGTCCTCCCCCTGCCCCCAACATTGCTAACAATTCCCCAAGGCCATCTAGTGAGTTTTGTTTCTCTCTCACTTTTTGGCTGCCCTGGGTCTTCATTGTATCATATGGGATCTAGTTCCCTGACCAGGGATCAAACCCAGGGCCCCTGCATTGGGAGCACAGAGTCTTAGCCACTGGACCACCAAGAAGTTTCTTGAATCTCCCAAAACACTTGAATACTTGTCATTTTATAAGTGCTCATTGATTGGGTTAATAGGTTCTATATCTAATGAGCTTCTGTTCTTTTGAAAGAACACAAAATAATAAAGGACTCCAACTTCTTCTAGACAAATTGCAACTGTCTCTTTAGTACCCTTCTATCCATCTCCACCTCTCCTTTAGTACCTCCTTCCCTTCTCCAGATCTCCTGTGTCGTTATGCTCTAAGATCTCACCTGGGCATACCCTATTTTCTTCCTTCATCATCTACATTTACTTGTTTTGTGTTAAAACATCAAGGGGAGATCTAATACAATTATTTACACTTAAGTGTTAGTGACTGATTATAAATTTAAAAATTATTTTTCTTGAGGCATGTATATAGTCTGAGCTTTTCAGAGTTGAAATGAACCTTGGAGGTGATATAGTTCAAAAACTTGCCAGTCGCTCAGTCGTGTCCAACTCTTTGTGACCCCGTGGACTGTAGCCCACCAGACTCCTCTGTCCATGGAATTCTTCAGGCCATAATACTGGAGTGGGTAGCCATTCCCCTCCCATTTTATCACTGAGCAACTAGAAACCCAGAGCTTAAGAGAATTACCCAAGTTCATGTATCTCAATGAGATGCCCCATTCTAATAAAGAGAAAGGGATCTCTAGGAAGAATTTTGGGCCTGTGGTTGGCAGAAATGGAGCTATTTGGGGGAAATACGGGAGATATTTAGACAAGGAGACAATTTCCTGGTTTCTTTTCATTCTGCTCCCAGGGTAACTCTCTTTCCTGCCTTGGGTAAAGGCTTTACTGTTCCAAAGTAGTAGAACTCTAAGACAATACCTATCACATCTCATCTTGAGTGACTTTGCCAAGTTCTATAATGTTCCTGAGAGTGAAGCTATCTGTGGCCAAAATCAGTTGTGGTTTTGACTTTTAATGTTGCTGTTATTGGCAATGGGAAGAAAAATAATTTGGAAGTGAAGCCAAACAAAAGCAATTTTAACAGGGAAAAAAATGGAAAGGAAAAGAAATGATATCTCTTGGCTGATTTATCCTCTTCCAGAAAAATAACAAGCTGAAAACTATGAGCCTTGATCAGCTCTGCAAACTGTATTGCATTGCTTGGGTCCACTTCCTGTGCAGGAAGGAAGCTTGTAGGTCTGTTGCTATGGTAACCCTTGCTTCTGCTGAAGAACCATCACCACTCAGAGCTGAGCCTCTAGAGAACAGCACAATAAACAGAGTGACTAATTCAAGTCCCATTCCAAACAACACTCAGGGAAAGTGAATGAACTGGCTGGAAAAACGATGAAGGATGCAGTGGGTGGAGGTTGTAGGCTGTGGGTAGTTTAAGGACAACCATTAAGCCACAGATAAAGAACAACACAGATGAGACTAATTAGGTGGGACAGGTTCTCCTCTGGTGACACCCAGGAGCCTGACCAAATACCCAGGGTAGAGGTCACGTAAAAAAACTGCAGACAGAGTATCAGCAAAGCTATCACCATATGGGGACATCTCAGCACTGTAGAGAGGCCTTTCTGGAATGTATTACTTGGTTCTCACAAGTCATGTGCTTGAAGTTTGACTATGAGAGGATGACATCACATCCAGCCACTAATTAGCTCAAGGTGATTTTAATAATCTGTAGGGAAATGACAACCCCCTCTAGTATTCCTGCCTAGAAAAATTCCACGGACAGAGGAGCCTGGCAGGCTACAGTCCATGGGGTCGTGAAGAGTCAGACATGATTGAGTGACTGAGCACACACACAGGGAATTATAATTCTGCACTCTCAAATCTCAATTTGGAAAGGAGAGGGAAACAGAGACAGAGAGAGAGAAAGATCTGGTCTAGGACAGTATTTTCTAACTTTTAATAGTGTCATACTTGGCAACAGAATTTATCTGTCATGTAGATCTTGATTTTTTAATTGGTAAGTCAGAGACATGTCACTTCTAAATTTCCTTAATCCACTGCAAATAGATATAATAATTGCTTTATGAAAATGAGCCACACATTTATTTAAAGACATTGAAGAGCAGAGAATAATGTGGGATTATGATATGAAATTGTGGCAGTCAAAAGGAGGAAATTTGGGACCACATGAAAATAATTTGGTCTAATTATATAGCATAAGAAAAAGAGATATGAAGTCAGATGACTCCAAATCAGTTCACTCTGGAGAGCTGATTAGAATAAAGGAAAAAAAAAAGATGAAAATGTCATAAAATGACAAAGAAAGGACTGGAAAGCACTTCTCAGGGAAAGCCCTTCTGAAAGCAAAATGAAGGTCACAAATATTTGATGAGCATCTAGCATTTACAAGACACTGTTCTTTAGCACATACTGATGTTTAAGTTATTCTCCAAAGTGGAAAAAGTTGGGGGTTGTGCAATCTAGCCATACCAAAAAGGCCCAGCTGATTTGACTGGTGTTTCTTAAGCTTTCTGGAGATGGCAAGTCTCCTTAAAAATCTAGTAAGAGTCACAGTCTTTATAAAAGGTGAAAAGGAAAAGCCCATGGAATTGTGCACGCAGCACAGGGATTCATGGATCCCTGAAGTCCTTCGTAGACTCTACTGGAGTCCGTGATTGAGAATGTGACCTTTTAACTATAACTTTTGCAAACAGTGAAGCAAAGCCTTGAGTGTTAAGCATGGACTTCCCTGGTGGCTCAGATGGTAAAGCGTCTGCCTACAATGCGGGAGGCTCAGGTTCAATCCCTGGGTTGGGAAGATCCTCTGGAGGAGGAAATGGCAACCCACTCCAGTACTCTTGCCTGGAAAATCCCATGGACGGAAGCGCGCTATAGGCTACAGTCCATGGGGTTGCAAAGAGTCGGACACGACTGAGAGACTGCACTTTCTTTTTCACCTTTTGCTTCTCTCTGAAGCCTGGCCAGACCAACGACATAACTCAGCCTCAAGCCAGGGATCATGTCTGTGAGCCTGAAACATTGGACCTGCAGAAGCAGGAGGCAATACTGGGTAACGTCTGGATCTTAGGGAACATGACCATAGTCCCGCAGAAGAGCAGTGGTTTGGGAAGTGTTCTGGGTAATCTACTTGATTTTGGATGATTATCCCCTCAATAAACTGGGCCTCATCACACATGAGTTTTCATTCTGGCTTTGCCACTAACTAGCTGTGACCCTGTGAGCAAATGTTCCAACCACTGTGATCTTCCTTTCCTCATCTTGGGAGGTGACAGGTTAGGGGAGACCATCTCTAGGTGCTTCCTTTTCTAAGGTTGCTACCTGTAGTCAGGTGTCAGCTCAGTTGTCATTCAGTTACCTTATTTCACCTGTATAAAAGGCCATCTGCCTCTGTTTTATTATTTCATATTGTTTATTTATACAAATTCCCCAAAGAGTCTGCATTTTCAATTTTACAATTCATTTCCAGGAAATTTCAGATTCTCCCAAAGCCCCAGCTGGTTAATAATATATCTTGACAACAGTTTCCCAAGCTAACTGTGTATGTATAGTGAACTACAAGTATCATTTTTCTCCTTTTAAAAATAGTTTAAAACTGTGTGTGTGTGTGTGTGTTTTGTTTGTTTTTGTTGTTGTTTATTTGCTTGTTTTTTGGCTGTACCACGTGCCTTGCAGGATCTTTGTTTCCTGACCAGGGCTTGAACCCTGGCCACAGCAGCGAAACCACAGAGTCCTAGCCACTGGACCACTGGGGAACTCCCTCTTATTTCTCTTTTTATCCTTCCATCTTACGGGTGCTTGCTGAAGAATAGGAATTTTAGGCAAATGCCAGATTGCTTTCCAATTGCATCATCTAAAGAACAGTTTTTGTGTGTGTATTGGAGTATAGCCAATTAACCATGTTCTGATAATTTCAGGCGAACAATGAAGGGACTGTCATACATATACATGTATCCATTCCACCCCAAACTCCTGTCCCATCCAGGCTGCCACATAACATTGAGTAGAGTTCCCTGTGCTGTGTAGTAGGTGTATGTTGGTTATCCATTCTAAGTATAGCAGTGTGTACATGCCCA